AAGTGTTTTTTGTTTGTGTGGGTTGAGCTCCAGGGGTGGGATGGGGCGGTCAGAGGGAGCTGATCCCCGGGATCAGCTCCCTCTGACCGCCCCATCCCACCCCTGGAGCTCAACCCACACGAACAAAAAACACTTTTCCAACCCCAGCCCCATTTCCAAGCTGCCATCAATAATCCCCCAGCACCCAGGAGCGCTCCTGGCCAGTGCATCCCTCCCAACCTTCCCACTGGGATAATTCCTCGGGGCTGGAGAGCACCTGGAATGTGCAGAGACCTGGCCAAGTCAGCCCAGAGCTCCTGGCAGGGTGGGAAGGACCTTAAAGCCCTCCCAGCACTGGAATTCCCTGCTAGAACTGGGAATTCCATCTTAGAACTGGGAATTCTCTCCTAGAACTGGGAATTCCATCTTAGAACTGGGAATTCTCTCCTAGAACTGTGAATTCCCTCCTAGAACTGGGATTTCCCTCCCAGCACTGGGATTTTCCCTCTGGGAGCAGAAATGCCAATCCCCAGAGCTCAAACCCAACAGAGAGGGTTGGAGCTGATGATCCTGGAGGATTTTTCCAATCTTCACGATCCTAAAAGCCCCAGCTGAGCCCTGGAGTTCAGTTCCTCCCCCGGAGGGAGAGCTGGGCAGGGAACTCACGTCGATGTTGTCGATGTCCAGGATCCTGGAGTGGAACTGGAGCCCCAGGGCCTTGGCCTGCTGGATGGGATGGGCCAGCTGGCTGTAGGTCTGAGGGAGGAACAAATCCGGGTTGGGAATTGTTTGGAGATGCTCAACACCAAAAAAAAAACCGGGAATTTTCGCTTGGAGGGAGCCAACAAAAAAAAAAAAAGTCACTTTTTTTGTAAATGGGCTGAAGGATCAAAGAACTGCAGGAAATGCTTTGGGGTTCACCAAATTCCCAATGAAATTCCCACTTTTCCTGGGCAGAATGTGAGGACAGGAGAGCACCTGAGAGATGAGGGACTCACAACTGGACTGAACAGCAGAGACTGGGAAAAGCAGGAAAATCAGGGAAAAGCAGGAAAAGCAGGAAAAGCAGGGAAATCAGGGAAAGCAGGGAAAGCAGGGGAATCAGGGAAATCAGGGAAAAGCAGGGAAAAGCAGGAAAAGCAGGGAAATCAGGGAAATCAGGGAAAGCAGGGAAAGCAGGGAAATCAGGAAAAGCAGAAAAATCAGGGAAAATCAGGGAGTTCAGAATCACCATCTCAACACCCCTGGGATCCATTAAGAGGTTTTATCCCTGGATTCTCAGGGACAGGATTCCCATTTTCTCCCCTGGCTTATCTGACTGATCACTCCTGACTCAGGAGCTTCACTTCCAGTTCCAGCTGCCTTGGGAATGTTTGGCTTTGGAAGCTGCTGCTCCCCTCCAGAGCAATCCAAGGTTGCAGGGAAGATCCTTTGCTTTCAGGCTTGATTATTGCTCCAAAAAAACGCTCAGCAGGATTTATTAAATTGAAAGATTCGGCTCTCCCAGCCCTCTGCTGGTGGGAGCAGCACTGGGAATTCACTTGGAAAAACTCAGAAGGGCAGAATTATTTGGGATTTTGCAGCACAATAATTTGGAGGAATGAAGACCCAAATAAAAGCAAGACTGTCAGGAAAGGCTCTGCTGTCAGGGGCTCCCTGAATTCCAAGCCCTCAGAATAACCCCATTTTCAAGGGAGAACCCCGAGCTTTGGGGAGTTTCTGGGAGCTCCACTCACGGCCTCATAGCACCAGTCCTTGAGGATGTCGAGCTCTCCGGAGATCAGAGCCTGAGGAGGAAATCAGACAGAACATTTCACATCAAAGTGGGACCAGTCATCCCCTCCAGCAGCAAAACACCTTAAATCCCACATTTTGTGGGACTCTGGAGCTGCAGAGGGGAACAGCAGAAAAGGATTTCCATAAAAACACAGGAGCTGAGGCCAAGGGACATAAAACCTTGGGATAATTCAACTCTCCTAAAGCTTCCAGCTGAACCTTCCCCTTAAATCTTCCTGCTCAAGCTGCCAGAGCCAGCCAAGCTCCCAGTGCTCAGAAATCCTGGGATCAAACAGGAGCAGAGCTGCAATTTTCCGCACTGAGAAATTCAGGGCACAGAAGGAACAGAGGAATCCCACGTTTGGCTCCTCAAGCCCCACTTTTCCAGTCTCTCCAGAACAATTCCTGCTCTGTCTCAAATCCCAAATCCCCTCTGTCCTTCCTGCTGCAGTGACAGGGACCCACATCCATTTACACATCGAGTCCCCAAAAACCTCCAGTTCCAGACACTTCCATGACCACTGAGCCTGCTGCTCTTCCCAAATCCCAGATCAGCAGCCAGGAGCACATCCCAGATTCCCTCCTTATCCCTCTGCTATCACCATTTCTCACCCACTTCCCTCTGACCCCTCCCATCATTTGCTGTTTCCCAGACCAGAACAACCCCTTATTATCCCAGCTTTGAACCCAAATGTGGGATCCAACTCCCTTCCCAAGGTTCTGTGCAAAGCTGGAGAAGGAAATCCCATCCCAGCTTCTGATTTTAGCAATGGGAAAGCAAAGGGACCATCTTCCATGGGATAACTGAGGGGCAAAGGCAGAACTGCAGCGTCACCTCCAGGACGTTGGGGATGATGTCCCGCTCGCACTGCTTCAGGAAGCGATCCTTGTCAAAGGAGGGATCCACCCTGAGGATCTCCGTCAGCACCTCGGACATTTCCGTCTTGGAGAACAATCCCCCTGCAAAAGCAGCTCCATGGGGCGCTGGCACCGGCCCCAGGAGGGACCATCCCCATCCCATCCCCATC